TAGTTATCATCTTCGGTGTAAACATGGCTTTCATCAGTGTTTCATGAGTCAATCTCATTCATTCATTTCTTTTCGGCTTAGTCCCTTTATTCATCAGGGGTCGCCACAGCGTAATGAACCACCAGCTTATCCAGCGTATGTTTTACACAGCAGATGCCCTTACAGCTGCAATCCAGTACTGGGAAACATCCATACAAACTCTTTCACACACATACACTACGGCCAGTTTAGTTTATCCAATTCACCTATAGCACATGTGTTTGGACTGTGGGAGAAACCGGAGCACCCGAGAAAACCCATGTGAACACAGAGAGGACATGCAAACTCCAAACAGAAATGCCAACTGGCCCCAGCCGGGACTCGAACCAGCCGCCATCTTGCTGTGAGGCGACAGTGCTAACCACTGAGCCACCGTGTCACCCCATGACCCCCCAAAAATTTTGTTTTTATCTACCTGTTCACTCCCTTTAAAAAAAACAAACAGGATCCCCAGTATGATGTTTGGGATAATTTTCAATCAACAGACAAGTCATTTGACATGATTTATGATGAGCCAGAACCAGGTGATGGAGCAAGACCATAACACATTGAAATAAGTTGAATATCCTAAAGGTGGTTCACCTAAAACTAAAAACTAAACTATAGTACTATTTTCTACTATAGATGTCAGTGGTTACATTTTTAAAAATATTATACATTCTCACATTTGATCAAAATATCTACTGTCTTCAACAATAAATAAATAAATAAATAAATAAATAAATAAATAAATAAATAAATAAATAAATAAATAAGGTTTGGAACCACTTGAGTTTAAGTAGTAAGTAAATTTAAATTGCCGGGGGAAATATAAATATCCCTTTAAAGTGAAATGAATTATATTTTAATTACTATTAAAGTCCTTGGACCGGATCTGACCGAAACAAGATCAACAACAACAACCATAACAAAAAGTAATTTATCTGTGTCAAGGTTCTTCAAGAGAGATAGGCAAGACTTGGCCTTTATATTCAGCTATTTACACAGTTAACTATTTAAACATTCCTTATATTCAGACTATATTTACACAGGTCATTTGAAAATGAAAGCTTAACTAGCTCCACCCGCCATTAATCTGATTAACTACCAAGTACAAAGTTTATTGCATAGTTTTAGTACAATTACTTCAGTTTTCTTTAGATTTCCGATCACTTTTTTGCACATGCATGCACAATCGCTACTCTGTAAAGAAAAAGTGATTTGTTGACTTTACTTAAAAAGTGAGTAAACCCATTGCATTAAAACTATTCAGTAAATGATTTATCTGCATAATTATAAAAATGAAGTCAGCTTAACACTTCCAAGTTACAACGGATTTATTCACTTTTTAAAGTAACTAACTACTAAACACTGTAAAAATGTTTGTAAATTAGCAGTTTTCTATATTTTGATTAATGTTTTTATTTTTTTATTTTCTCTTGCTTATTTATGCTTTTGAATTGCATTATGGGATCTAGACCTTTCTTCCAACAACTTTTAACCTTAAAAAAGTCACTTTTATTAACATTTTTAATAGTTTAAAGTCATATACTGTCTAGGTTACTGTTATATATTATGCTACAAAAACCTTTTAATAAAAAGCCATACATTGTCTGTTATATTATATTATTTTAAACTACTAAAATGTCATTGAGTTTTTAACATCAAAAGCCGACAGAGCAAAGATCAAGCTCCTATAATGCAATTCACAACCATCTACCGAAAAAACTTGTGAATCACAAAATACAGAATCTTATTTTGTTAATTGACAGATTTTTCTACAGTGAAGTGTACTCATTAATACTATTAACAGTACAAAGAAAACACATTCTACAATCTTAAAATACTACAATGTATGTTTACTAAAAGGGCATCCGCTGCGTAAAACATATGCTGGATAAGTTGGTGGTTCATTCCGCTGAGGCGACCCCTGAATAAAGTGACTAAGCCGAAAAGAAAATTAATTAATGTTTACTCAAGTTCTCTTCTTAAGTTTACTCGTCTAATATTGCTTTTACCGACAATAATGAAGCAATTTAGCTTTCCAAACAGACAATGATAAAGGGATGCTTCATATCTTTGGACGGGAAAGCGGAGCACCCATAGGAAATACATGCAAACACGTGGAGAACATGCACACTCCACACAGAAATGCCTACTGACCCAGCCAGGGCTCGAACCAGCGACCTTGTTGCTGTGAGGTGACAGCGCTACCCACTGTGGCACCGCACTGCAAGTTAGCTTATTAGTATTTAGAAATTTAGTGGATTGAACATAAAACAATTAAGTTGTCCCCTTCCTCAAAAATCAATTTTTTATGCTAAGTGGTTGTAACCAATTTATTTGTGTTGAATTTAAACAAACAAATTAAATTGAATATTAATAAACCTAATTTGTTTGTTTAAATTCAGCACAAATAAATTGTTTGCAACAGTTCTGCATGCAACACTTTTTTCAGTTCCTTTCAATCTAAAAGATTTGACTAGATGTTTTAAAGACAACGTCTTCTTTTCTCTTTTCTTTTTTTCTTTCTTTTAAAGCATAGGTCTTAAACTCAACCCAACCCTAATCTAACACAGTTGATCCAACTAAGCAAGGTGTTCAAGATTAATAGAGACTATCCGTTTGTTATGTGTGACGTCACGCGAAGGGGCTTCCGCATCCAAGCGCTCTATGAAACTTTGTTAATTTTATCATTTTAAATGGTAAATTCTTCATCCCCAAATGTCGACTTTCAAAATCTCCTCCTTTATACAAGATATTTGTCAATGAAATTACTCTGTTAATGAAGTCTCTCAAAGCTGTAAAAAATGTAAAAGCTCTGTCTATTGTAAGCTATTATGAATCTGTTTTTGGCGTCTTGTGAATGTCTTCCTTTTTTTTTGTTTTTTTAATTATCTTTGGAATTTTCTTTGTTGCCTGTTTTTGCTTTATTTGTAAATAACTAATGCATAATAAAAAAAGAAAAAAAAGGCGCTCTATGAAACTGAATGGGGAGACAAACGTTTACACAGCAATGTAATACTTTCGAAAATCACGATATATATGTCCATGCCTATATCTGATGGCCAAAGAGTGACCATTTTCAAGTGACCGTGAAAATTTCTCTTATAAATTGTTAAAATTTTGGTATTTGTGATGCAGCAAGACCAGAGATTGTTGTGTACACTATGTCTTCATATAAAATTCACTTTCATGTGTGATATAAATAAAAAGTGGTCATAAATGAGTATTTTGTCAATTCAAATGAGTGGCGGCTTGGACAGGGAATTACATACATCACTAACACATCACCACCTAACAAGCGGATTAAAGCCGGCGTGAGTGGGGGTGGTTGGAGGTAAAACCAGAGCTGCTGCCCTCCAGGAATTGAGTTTGAGGTGACTGCATTAAAGTGAAGATATTCTTATAGGAAACTGATAGCCACTGACTTTAATTTTTGTTCGGCTTTTTTCACAATGGCTATAGTTACTAAAATTCTTCAAAAATAATTGATGTGAAATAATATGAAAGAATCATTTGAACGTAATTAAATTTTTTATTTTGAGGTTTAAATACTCAACTATTCATTAAAACATTATTAAAAACGCTTATTTTTAAACAGACTTTATTGAACGGGGAAATTGCTAACACGGTATAGGTGAATTGAATAAACTAGATTGCCTGTAGTGGTGTCGCGGTGGCGCAGTAAGTAGTGCTGTCGCCTCACAGCAAGAAGGTCGCTGGTTCGAGCCTCTGCACTGTCAGTTGGCGTTTCTGTGTGGAGTTTGCATGTTCTCCCCGTGTTGCTGTGGGTTTCCTCCAGGTGCTCTGGTTTCCACCACAGCCCAAAGACATGCGGTGCAGGTGAATTGGGTAAGCTAAATTGTCCGAAGTGTATGAGTGTGAATGAGTGTGTGTGGATGTTTACCAGAGATGGGTTGTGTTTGTAAAAACGTGCTGAATAAGTTGGCGGTTCATTCCGCTGTGGCGACCACGGATTAATATAGGGACTAAGCCGAAAAGAAAATGAATGAATGAATGAAATTGCCTGTGGTGTATGTGTGTTTATGAGTGTGAATGGATATTTCCCAGCAATGGGTGGCAGCTGGAAGGGCATCCGCTGCGTAAAGCATTGGCGGTTCATTCCGCTGTGGCGAATCCTAATTATTAAAAGGACTAAGACGAAAAGAAAATAAATGAATGAATAAGCTAACTTAATTTGCCCATGTTATCCCAACACAAATCGATATTAACAGTGCTGAAAATGGTCAATGCAGCTAAACAAAACAAACAAAACAGGCACCTATCCCAATAACATTACTTTTTTGTAACGGTTATCATCAGTTAATAAATTTACAACGGTAACTTGGATTTTCAAGTTTCTTCAGAATACCATAGTAATCGTTGTACTCTAAAAAAAAAGAAAAAAAAAAAAAAAAATATATATATATATATATATATATATATATATATATATATATATATATATATATATATAGCGGCTTCCTCATACTACATATTTAAAATGAGCTGAATCAACACAACTTTTGACGTGTTTTTTATTTATTTTTATTTTTTTGGGGACAACCTAATTATTTTAAGTTCAATCCACTTAAATTTGTAAAAACGATTAAATTAACTTTATCTATTTGTGTAAGGAAAAGATGAACAAAATGTCTGGAACCCAACATTTTTTAAAGTGTAGGTGTTTAAATTAACAACAAACAACAAACATTAAATGCATTTACAACATAACTCAAGCATATTAATCTTGTACAATACGTATATTTTTTAGCAGTTGATGTCTTCTTGAGAGCTTTAGGATTACTCTTAAAGTCAGGGAGTCTTAATATTTTTAGATCAGTGAAAAAAGTGTTTACAGTTTGGTACAGTCAGCATACATTTTGTTTTGTGAAAGTGGGAACAGTGTAGGTGTTTAGCACAGTATTTACGATCTCCTCGACATCTTCACTAGATGGCGGCAGCAGCCTCTCGGTTTCTCCGTCATCTGCACAGAACAGCGCCGAAGAAGGAAAAAACTGTCACAGGTCACCGGTATCTTAAGAAGTAGGAGGAGAAAGCCGGCTGAAACCTTGCGTTTAGCTTTCACGTTGATGTATGATCTCAGTGAACATCTGAGCTCTGCCTTCATTATTTTCTTTAGTTAAAAAAAGATCGTCATGGCCAAGAAGAGAGCAGGAAACCGCGAGACGGAGAGCAGTCCGCTGGTGGAGCAGGAACCGAGGCCCTCCAAAGAAACTCCAGTCCCCAAAGGTACGTTAATTCAGACACAATGTCCTAGTTTCAGACTAATGTAGTTATTATGTTTCTTTCCATATGGAGGAATAATAGATGTATATTTTGAAAGAGATATCTTGTTTTTGGTTAGGAGCGGAAAAGGTGACAGCGGACGTTTGAATGTTTTGGTTTAATATGTTACTGTAAAATAAGGTAAACCTTCAAACTGAGGGTTGAATGATTTTGTTGGTTAATCATTCATTCTAAAGTGTGTCTTATAAAGGTAGAAATGACATAATCTACAAAATAAAACCGCAACAAACAAATGAAAAATATGAAATGGTTCAACTGGACGTCAGTATTGTGCAATACAGTTGCTTTGGGTTTGCATTACTCATACTGCAAGGCATAGTTCAATCTCTGATATGAGCTTTTCATTCAATGTCACAAGAATTGGAGGTCATATATTTATATATTTTTAGCATAATTAAGTTTGCAATATAGTTTTTAATGAGCCTACTTATTTTAGTGTGTTTATTTATTGAATGTCAAGGGTTAGAATGGGATTTCAAGCATTAAAAGCAAAATATTATGTTTAATTTTATTATTTTCCAATAATGTTTTTGTTATTTATTTAACATTTTTTTATCAAATGTCATTTGGTGTAACAGTATGTAAACCAGAAATATCTCTAACGGGATTCACAAAATTTCAAAATCCCTGAAGCCTTTGGGGCAGGCCCTCTTCGGTTTTTGCTAGCCCGAAATAATTTTAAGTGGCCCAAATCGAAAAGACCTACATGATCATGAAAATAACAAACAAATTCAAAATATTAAATTAACTGCATGTTGATCAAATGGACGTCAGTATGGATGTCAGACAATATCTCCTTTTTATTCAATGTCACAAGTATAGGAGGTAATAAGTTGTGCATAATTTAGTTCGAAATATAGATTTCAATTAACCTACTTATTTTTGCCTGTTTATTTAATGCGTGTCAAAGTTTAGAAGGGAATTTCAAACATTAAAACCAAAATATTATGTGTGATTTTATTATTTTCCAAGAATTTTTTATTTATTTATTTATTTATTTTTATTTTATTTTTTAGCAATTGTCATTTTGGTGTAACAATTTGTAGACCAGAAATATCTCTAACAAAATCCGCAACATTTCAAAATCCCTGGCAGCCTTTCGGGCAGGCACTCTTCAGTTTTTGGTTGCCCGAAATAAATTCAAGTGAATAGGAGTTAATAAATTGTTAGATTATTAGCATAATTAAGTTAGATATTTAGTTTTCAATGAGCCTACTTATTTTTGCTTGTTTATTTAATGTGTCAAAGGTTAGAAGGGGATTCCAAGCATTAAAACCAAAATATTATTTGTGATCTTAGTCATTTTTAAGAATTTATTTTTCAAATTTTTTAGCAAATGGGGTTTGGTGTAACAATATGATGACCAAAATATCGTGTCAGGTTTATTTAGATATCATTACCTAATAATTTTAGATTCAATAATATGAGTAATAATTCGATTTTACATGGTAAGAGTCTGTTTAAGGATTATTAACAGTATGTTTAAGGATCCTAGCATACAAATTAATTATAATTCAATATAATTCTATAATTAAACCCATTTTTTTGTTATAGGGTAACTAATTTTAGGTGAAAATATAAAACATGCAAAACATGTTGGACATTTATAACTTGAATATAAAAATAAAAATGTAATAATAACAATTATTAAATGTAAATACTCAGAAAATGTCTAATTGTAATTATTTAAATCAAATTTTTAGAAAAGCGTTAAAACCCACAAAGTATTCTGTTTACTGGAATACAATGCAATTGAGCTTTTCGAATAAATTAAGATTGAACTTATCTTAATTTTTCAAAATGTTTAATGGAGTAATTTGCACACAGACTTTTAATTACAGCCAGCCAGGCTCAGTGCTTCCGGTGAACTGTCATTTAATTACAAAGTTGCCATGTTTAAGGTCTGATTTCTTTATATCAGGCAGTGAAGATCACTGATTTTTACGATATAAAGTTTCGGACCGGACCCCCCCCCATGTCTTTAAAATATGACAGTTTATTTTACCCCAGTATCTTCAAGGAAGTTTCTGACGACGCTAGCGGTTACACAGTCTTTCATCTCGTTTTTTGCTTGAACAACTTAACAAATGGTTAAGTTTATTTACCTGAGTGTATTTTAATAACGTTACAACATCGATTCTGTACAAGGAACCTTGTGAAATTGAAAATAGTCATGTTAAGCTTTCACCGGAAGTTTATCATTGGCTGAAAAACACTAGCTGTGCATATTGCCATTGCTATTTCTAAAGAGCAAAGTGACTGTTTGCACAGTACAGAATCAATCAGAATTTTTTTGTTTAAATCTAAAAGTCCAGTTATGTTTAATAAACTTCAGATGTCAATAATGGAACAGGATTCACACTCTGCATGTGTAAGATGATTTTTGGTATTGTAGTTGTCTAACTCTGCACATAGGGCAGCTCTCACAGCCCTTAATCCCCCTGAGGATAGTAAGCAAGTGATGCAAATGTATGCAACACATTGCTCAGATATTATGAGAGGTTATTCATGATGTGTGCTGTTAAACTATTCTCCAAGGAGCCCAGTCACCAGGTGGAGCCTCTGCACGCATGTCAATCCTCCTCCTCGTCGTTATCTTCGCCTGCTCTGCCTGTGTCATGTATCTGGTGTTCAGAAACTTCCCACAGTTGAGCGAGTAAGTCTGCATCCACTCCCGACTGAAGTTTTCAAGTTTCAAAATGTTTTATGATAACTTTTGATGTCTTTTTTTGATGCTTTACAGAGACGAGAGAGAGAAAATTAAAATCCCCAAAGACATGGAAGATGCAAAGGCACTGGGGACAGTACTGTCCAAATATAAGGACACATATTACACCCAAGTGCTTTTAGCGTACTTTGCTACATACATTTTGTATCCTTTTTGACAGGGTTAATCTTGAGTTTTCAAGAGGCTAACTGTCAATATATATTTTTTTAATTTGGAAACTTCCACAGTGATGTCCATTTGAGGAATCAGTTATTCATTTAATTAAGATCCATTCAATGAATCAGATGATGAATGGCTAAAGTAACAGTCACACGAGAGTTTGAGCATGTAAAATTCTATACGGTGCCGTGACGAGGGTTGGGATCTTTAAAAAAAATGATGCAACACTGATAAAATGCTATTAATAATTTATATTTCCGTATTGACCTTATTTTTCAATGTGGAAGTCCGCTCGTTTTTGCGTTTGTTTTAGAACTTCTGAATCAGTTGCCTATGGGAGAAATTACTAGGAATAGTAAATGACAGAAAATGGTAAAACTACTTACTCTACAAACAAGTGTGTTCATAACTATACAGACAAAGCAGAATAATATAATAAGAACATTAGGGATGTCCTAATCAGGTTTTGATCCGATGTCCTGATCCGATATTTCTATAAAACATAAAAAAGAATAAAGAAGAGCGAAGTAACAGATCCAGAATGTTCCTTTTTTTTGTTTACTTAATTCAATAATTATTAATATTCAGCATCTTTTCCCAATCAGTGCAATCTTGTGAGGAAGCTTGAACAATCAAGTAATAAATAACAAATTCTTCACTTTTGGACTTTAGTGCAACAGTAAATATAAAATGTATCTAATAGGGGTGTCACGATTTCGATTTTTAATCGAAATCGATTGAAATTTATGCTTAATTTCGATTATCGAATCAAAAAATAGAATCGTCGATGCTGCCACGCCCCCATGTCACGTCAGCTTGGCTTGCCAAGTGGGAAAAAAACACGCTTGTTGAAGTGCTTGTTAAACTGCAGAAGCAGGAGACCCGTCAAGAGAACTTAAACCCTCTCCTCTTTCAATGAAGTCGCCGGTGTGTAAGCATTTTGGATTTCCAGTGAGTTATGTTGACAACGTTCGTGTTGTCGACAAAAAAACAACACAGTTTTGCAAGCTCTGCTATGTACGTATTACGTACGGTTCGTCTGATAGACAACACCGGCATAGCGGTCCTCCGCCCGCCCTCGTTGCAAATCCGCTCGCGAAAAGTTCACTCAGGCCCTGTTTACACTGTCTTTGTTTTTAAATGGCATTTTAGAACAACAACAATTTGACATCCACAGTGGCGTGTAGCATTTCTGAGCAGCCCTCCTTCCTCTCTACCTCTGAAAATGCAAATCACGTGACCACACAGACACAGACGCACTCACAGCCATGCGCTCGAGAGAGCAGGTCCAGGCAGTCAGAGGACTGCTTCAATCTTTCACTCACTTGTACTTAGTCATTTTAGCGAACACCTCAGATACTGTTGGCTGGTTCCTGTTGGTTGTGCACCTTTTTAACCGACGCCATTATAACGACACAGATTACTGCCTATTCACGAGTCCCACAGAAAAAGTGATTGACAGGTGGTAATTATGTGTGTATCTTGCCTTTATTCATTTACTGTATGATTTGTTTATAGGTAAAACAAAGACCATGCATGTCAGGTAGTTTAAACGGTAGGCTACAAATAATTAATTGGTCATTAATTAATTAATTCATAATCGAAAATCGAATCGAATCGTGCCTTTAGAATCGAAAATGTAATCGAATCGAGGATTTGGAGGATCGTGACACCCTTAGTATCTAATATAAAAACAAATAGCTCCTTCACTTAAAATACCCGGTAGTAGAGGTGTGAACCTATACTGGTCTCACGGTTTGGTTCGGTTACGATTATCATGCCATCGATTCGGTTCAATTCGATATCCCGGTGCATTGACGATGCTTTTCATACACAGTGATATATTTTGGGGTGAGGCACAGCACCACACTGTCTCTCATTCACACACATACACAAACATATACGCCACCAAACAAACACACACACACTTAAGTCCTCGCAATATGCATTTAGTCGGGAGAGGTCGCACTGAGCAGAGCAAAAAAAAAAAAACTATAAAAAGATGAACTTTTCCAACGGTCCCTTACTGAGAGCTTTGCTAAGCACGATCTCTCCCAGCTAAAAGCATATTACGAGGGCTTAAACGGAGCAGTGGTCGTAATGTCGAGCAAAAAAAAAAAAAGAAAGAAAGAAAAAGACAGCTGTGAAACATTACCAGCTTTGTCTTTTTGTAGGAAACACACTTTAGATCTTTTTAGAGTAAGAGGTTTTTGAGTTATTGCCGTCTATAGCTGAATATGTCAGGAGTATCGAAAACAAAACCAACTTAACCGCGCTCATTTCTGGTGCCCCCCTGGATGTACAGCACCCTTAGCATTTGCCTAGACTGCCTATGCCAAGGGCCGGCCCTGAGTTGGCTCCTGAGTGTTGTAAATACCTGCGCTCACCTCCCTCGCGACAGAGCTTATGGGAGATAAATGACATCAGTACATAACCGGTTATGATTATTACTGAACCGATACCGAATAGTCCGCGTCTGCATCGCGGGGCACCGAAGAACATAATTTTGACACCCCTACCCGGCAGGCAATTCCAAGTTTACATATCTCTCAGTTTGCTATGGCAATGTTGTTGTCATCAACAATAATACCTCTAGACCGCAGACATATTCGCGGTTTCTGCCTCAAGCTGCCTTAACCAATAGCATCTCTGCTACAAAGTGATGTCAGGCTGGCATGCATTGCTGTTTCTGTGTGAAGTCAAGAAAGAGGTCTAACTCTGTGCAATTGCGTAACTATAGATGAGTTAAAAATAATGAGTTTAATGTACGAGTAAAAATGTTAGTGTTTCATTTGGGACTACACTAAACCAAAGGCTATAGAACACACAAGACATGTCACTTGTGTAGTTTTGAATGGGTAAAAGTGTAACGGTCAATGTGGCGAATGAAGCGCCGCCTTCTAGTACAGGAGCCAATCAGCGATTGCTATAGACTGATGATTCTCTGAGGGAGAGGCTCAGACGCAATGTGAGTTTCTGCAGATTTTGCGTGACTCCAACAACGACCAAAATTCAACGTCTAGCCAGTGTCTAAGGACAACTTTGCTTTGATGTCCAATAACAATGTCAAAAGACTTTGATATTTGATTTTTTTTATTTTGTTAAAACGTGACCAAAATCCAACGTCGAGCCAACATCTTAAACCAACATCATATTGACGTCAAATACTGACATTTATTCGTCCGGTATGGCAACCAAAATCCAACATCTGAAAGACGTCATTGTAGTAATGTCCACACACCGTCAAGCTGTGACATAATTAGACGTTGATATTTGGTAGGTTTTAGGTTGGACATTGGAATTGTAAGCTTGGGAAGTTATTTTGGAGATTTTGATGTTTCCCCATTCAAACTGAATGCCCGAGCATACTGCCTGATAGTTGTTTCAAAGATGGCCGCCGAGTGATATGACTTGCCTAAACTCATACGCTATATGGTTGACACAACTCAAGTCTATTCTAATAGGTTAACCTCTTAGTCCTTTGCCAGATGAGTTCATTGGGTTATCCATGAATTGTGTTTACAATGTGTTATGTAACAAATGTGTTTTGTTTTAATTTACTAATGAGTTAACCCTTAACTAAGCCTTTCTCAGCCTTCAGACATTTGCCATCCCAGGCTCCATTTTCCTCAGTATACTGTCTGGTTATCTCTACCCCTTTCCTTTAGCTCTCTTTCTGGTCTGTCTGGTGAGTTCCTTGCTTATATGCAAATTCAATTCAAAAGCTTGTCTAGTCGTCTAGCAGGAAACAGGATATGTAAATGTCACATGTACCGGTTTTGTGTTTTACAGTGTTCAGGCCTTGGAGCGTCTTTTTGCTATATGTTGTCTTATTTAGTCGGGAGGCCGATGGTCTACAAGTACCTCACGGAGAGAGCTCAGAAATGGTCACAACAGGTGATGTTTCTAAATAAACATTCATTTTTTATTTATGAAGTTTGATTGGCTTCAATGTTAAGCTGATGCTGTTTAATGTCGTTGTAGGTGGACAAGCACAGAGAGCACCTCATCAATTATATCATTTTTCTGAGAATAACTCCTTTCCTTCCAAACTGGTTTATCAACATCACCTCGCCGGTCATTAATGTGCCTCTGGGTGTCTTTTTCCTGGGCACCTTTCTCGGTAAGAATGTGTAAACAGTTCACTGTTACAAAGAACAATGACGTCAGTTTGTGTGGTGTTTCTGCTTTGAGGATGCATTAAATATAGTTAGTCAGCTGCAATTTCTTGAGGTGTGTTCTGAGAGCTCTCTGGCCAGGTCTACAATGTTAATAGTTTACCCAACTCAGGATGTTAAAATGGCATTAAAGGGCACCTATTGTGAAAAATCTACTTTTCAAGCTATTTTGACAAACATATGTGTATATATAGTGTATAGACCATCATATTGGGGTGATACAAACACACCCAGTCCTTTTTTTTTTTTCAATTTAACAACATAAAAACGGTGGACCAATTAGAGCGGTTTTCAGACCGACCGCAACTTTACGTAGGAGTGCGGTCCCCCCGCCCACCGAATTGATTGACAGCTGCGCGCATTAACATGTTCCGGCTGTCACGTGTATATGTCAACAAGACCAGACAGACATACGCAAAGCAACCGGGAATAAAAGGTCTGTTCTGTTCGCTAGGATCAGCAATCATCATCAAATTTGATTAAGAGTAAGTTTCACATGTTTAAAGTGTTTGAAAACAGTGCAAGTGTGTAATTAATTACAGCGATTTACTTCATCAGCACAGCCGCGTGTCAGAACAATTATAAAAGAAGACGCTTCAATCCCGGTTTGTGGATGTTAAATCAGGTTTATTTTGTACATTAGCACGTTAGCACGTTAGCTACATTGTGCGCGTTAACTTTGTAACGATATTGTGTGTGACTCATCAATGCAACTTCACAATACTGATTAGTAAAGATTAGTTCTTACTGTAGTATTTCTCCACGTGAGACCTTCTTCCTTTAAGTCTGTCTGTTGTCTGACGCAGCAGAGGGAGGAGACAGACAGACAGGCACAAAAAATGTGCGTACGCCAGCCATAATGCTGTATTATTGACTTATAAACACATACAGTTGAAGTCAAAATTATTAGCCCACATTTTGAATTTTTTTTTTCTTTTTTTAAATATTTCCCAAATGATGTTTAACAGAGCAAGGAAATTTTCACAGTTTGTCTGATAATATTTTTTCTTCTGGATGAAGTCTTATTTGTTTTATTTCGGCAAGAATAAAAGCAGTTTTTAATTTTTTAAAGACCATTTTAAGGTCAAAATTATTAGCCCCTTTAAGCTATATATTTTTTTTCTGATAGTCTACAGAACAAACCACTGTTATACAATAACTTGCCTAATTACCCTAACCTGCCTAGTTAATCTAATTAACCTGGTTAAGCCTTTAAATGTCACTTTAATCTGTATAGAAGTGTCTTGAAAAATATCTAGTCAAATATTATTTACTGTCATCATTTATCCATTATGTATCTTCAATATATAAGATCAACTGATGAGTGAATCATCTAATAGTTTTTGGATGTGTTTAATATATTCACAGGAGTGGCTCCTCCGTCCTTTGTGGCGATAAACGCAGGGACGACGCTCTACAAACTGACCACCGCTGGCGAGGCCGTGTCCTGGAACTCTCTTCTGGTGCTGGGGGTTTTGGCCGTCGTCTCCATCCTGCCGGTTTGCTTTCAGAAGAAACTCCAGCAAAAGCTCGAGTAGAGAGAGGTCTCCCACCCCTGCTTGATTCAACTCAGGAATGATACTGATCCTCTAAACTTCTCCTCATTTTCGACTTCTTCTTTTATGCATGTATGACCGACCCCTCATACAAAGGGCAGGACCGGCCTTCCATAGTTTCAACAGCACTGTCACGCAACGAAGATTCAATCGTCACTGATTTTCTCTAGCAATATATTCCACGTCGACGTCTTCAGTGGATTTTAAAGTTCATATAAAACAGCAGTGATTCATGTGCGATACACTGGAGAAAGAGCCGTTCACTCCCTCTCAAGTCGCTGAGCTGAAATGGAAAGTGCCAACTTTTGTGCTCTACTTTGACGATGAAGTATTACATGCTTCAGAAACCTTTTGAGGGGGAGCTTTGTGAGTTTAACCGAGTTCGATGTTATTTCGTAAGCCAGCTGAGACTGTGAATGGATTATGCAACAGTGCCCTGTGTAGTGTGTGCTGATGCTAACTATAGACCACATTGCTAAGCTCTTATTATGGACTTATCGGTAACACTTTAAAATACGGGACTATTAGTTATGTATTGCATATATTAATCATAGTTTAACATTACTTAACTAACGCATTATTCAAATTAAACGTGGTGCTTGTTAAGATTAGTTAATGCGTCGTTAGTTAGCTAATCAATTGTATCCTTAATTAAAATACTTTAATAAATGTTGAACTATGAGTAATATAGAGCATTTTGATGGATGTAACCAATAACAATGGTTCTGAAGTAGTTGCTGTTTTGCATTTTAAATTTCCACACAGCTTCTGAGAGTCCAGAAAGTTCCACTTATTAATAAGAAATGATAGCTGTTATAAGATCAAGGTATGATTGAATCACGTCTTATTAATAGTTTGACAACAAGCTGGAAATGTCCAATGACATCCACATTGAAATGATCTATATGCTGTTATTCAGTGTTTCTCAACCATGTTCCTGGAGGACCACCAGCTTTGCACATAAACCATGTCTGTTTAACCATTCAGATCATCAGCTCATTAGCAAAGACTGAAAGAGCTGTAACGGGTGTGACAAAGGAGACATCCAAAACATGCAGTGCTGGTGGTCCTCCAGGAACGTGGTTGAGAAACACTGCTGTAGAACTATGATTAATAACATTAACTATGTTTCTCCTATTGTAAAGTGTTACAGATTTATTTCTTCCCCCCTAAAACTGGTAAATGTGGATGATGCCATGTTAGTATTACAGATTTAGACGGTAGATTACATCTAGAAAGTTCTGCCTTAATATAAAAGCTTACTTGAAGTCAAACGGAATTAATATTTTGATGTCACACGTACTGAACCATTAACACCTGTTTTATTTTAAGCTATTGTGGTGACACTATAATAACTACACACTATGAATCATTTACACTGAAAAAATGATTCATAGATGATTCCTTGGATTTACTCAATTTTTTACGTTAAGTTGTTGTAAACAATTTATTTGGGCTGAATTTAAACAAAAAATTAAGTTGAACATTATTAAATTTAATTTGTTTATTTAAATGGAACACAAATAAATTGTTTGCAACAGTTCTGCATGCAACACTTCTTTTTCAGCGTATCAAGCATTAGCAAATAGTGAATTCATTATTAGTTAAGCATTAACTCTACATTAGTTATGTTTAATGAGCAGTTTATAACTGCAGCTACAAATGCTGTGTTCTTGACTCCTAAGCACACGTGTAATGTGCTTAATAATTGTGTGTTTTCATACTTTGTTAATGATGAATTTTGTCATTATTAAATTAATTACTGCATTATTTACAAACCAGTTATTTAAGAATAGTTGGTGTTTTTTTTAGATCCTTCAGAATGCGTAAATCAATGATTAATAAACTATTCAAATTAACATTAATGTACTGTAAAAAAATAAATCTGTGAAATTTTCGATAAAAAAACAGCAGCTGTGGTTGCCAGTATTTTACAATTAAAAACACGGTACAAACCGTAAAAGTAATTTCTCATTTTTACAGTAAACTACCGTATTTCATTAATTTATAGATGTAATATGTCTGTATTTTGAATTACCAACATCTACACATCTTTTGTTACACAGATAGACACGTTAACACAGACATATGCAGATGGGGATGAGAAAGTTACATAATGAACCATAACTCATCACAAACAACTTTTCCCACAAGAAGATAAGTGCTGTCAGTGTAATATAGAAGGTGCTCAGTGTCATTCACACAATTACTAAACACAAGTATGGCAACACGCATACAATTAAAGCAATGAAATAAACATTGTCTATCAACATTAGATGTAACATAAATCTCTAATGTACATAACTGATGGGGAAACAACTAAAAAGATCCATATTAATGTCAACAATAAAAAGTGGCGTGCCATTCAGGGAATTCTGAGAAAGTCAGTTTACGGTTATTCACCGTATATATTAAGGAAACATACTGTTTATTAGTTTACGGATTTTTACTGTAGCATTTTTACAGGTTTTTACTGTCGAAATTACGGCCATTTCGTACAGTGTAGATCTTATTATTCAAGCATATATTCATAGTTACTTTGTATGTTAATAAAGGCTTTATTAAGTTCATCCAGATTTGTGACCTGAGGACTATTTATGCTTTATAAATCCCTTATAAATGACATTTAAAGGCTCAGTTATATTCTAAACGAGGATTAAAGAAGGTAAAAACTTTAGTCATTTCTATTTGAAGATACACAAATGAAACCATATCAAATGAAAAATAAATCTTTGTAATCTTAACTAAAATAAAATTACTACAGTTTAAACATCGCTAAGTAATATTGAAATGTTGTATCATAATATATTGGGAAATTATTATATTGTTGTTGTTGTTGTTTTATCCAATTTTATGACTCTCCTGTTATTTCACAATGTTTAAACCTTACAGTAATTGAATTTGTTAGATAAGATTGCAAAGATTATTGTTCATTTGATTCTGAGCCTTTAATTATCATTTATAAGGGATTTTCAAAGCATAAATAGTCCTCACTTTAGATTTGGTCACAAAACTGCATGTAGTTGTGCTAGTAAAGCATTTGTTAACATACATAGTGTAGTAACCATTACTATATGCCTGGATAATTAGATGTGTAAACGTTGATTTCAATAATTAACGAATCATTTACTAACTCATTCTGAGTGGTCTTAAAAACGACCAATTTCTCTTGAATACAAGTGGTTAGTAAATAATGCTATAAATTTAGTTATAAAAATTTAATCATTAATAAAGCATGACAAAACAATTAAGCACATTATATTTAATTTAGTTTATTTTTTTAGTTTATTTTCCCCCAATTTCTGTTTAACAGAGTTTATTTCTGTTTAATTTCTAATAACTGATTTATTTTATCTTTGCCATGATGACAGTAAATAATATTTGACTAGATATTTTTCAAGACACTTCTATACAGATTAAAGTGACATTTAAAGGTTTAACTAGGTTTATTAGATTAACAAGGCAGGTTAGGGTAATTACGCAAGTTATTGTATAACAGTGGTTTGTTCTGTAGACTATCAGAAAAAAATATAGCTTAAAGGGGCTAATAATTTTGACCTTAAAATGGTGTTTAAAATATTAAAAACTGCTTTTATTCTAGCTGAAATAAAACAAATAAGACTTTCTCCAGAAGAAAAAAATATTATCAGACATACTGTGAAAATCATTTGGGAAATATTTAAAAAAGAAAAAAATTCAAAAGGGTGGCTAATAATTTTGACTTCAACTGTATGTGTTTATAAGTCAATAATACAGCATTTGTATCAGCAGTTATAAACTGCTCACTAACATCTGTTAATGTAGAGTTAATGCTTAACAAATAATCAACTCACTATTTACCAATGCATAATAAATGACTCCTAGTATATACTTATTATGAAGTGTTACTACTATTGTTTTCTTTCATGGATGCAATTTTTTTTTAAATAATCAAAACGCAAAATGATTAGGTTTGATTACTGTTTTTATTGCAGTAGTTTTAATTTTAATTTGTTTAACATTGTGCATTATTTTTATTTTACTCACGTGAAAGAGGGAAGTATTGTATGATTTACAGTTGGCTGTGGTCCTAGTCTAATCAAGCCACTGTAAATCATTTTTATAACTGTATACATATATAGGGACAGTTCACACAAAAAGGAAAATATACTTACTATTTATTCGCCCTCAAGTGTTTCCAAACCTTAATGAGTTTCTTTATTCTATGGAAAACCAAAAAAGCTCTTTTGAAGAAAGCTGAAACCTTTATCCGTTGACTTGCATAAAAGGAAACAGAAATACAATGGAAATCAATGGTTACAGGTTTCTGACGTTCTTTAAAATGTTTTTTGTTGTGTTTAATAGAAGAAAAAAAAAAGCCAAACAGGTTTGGAACAAGTGAAGGGTAAGGAAATGATGACAAAATTGTCAGTTTTGGGTTCACTGTTAAGGGATTAAGGGGTTGTTCACCCAAAAATGAATATGTGCTAAAATTTTCTCACACCCGGGGAATCCAAGATGCAGATGAGCCTTCATCTGTAAAAGATTTAAGAAAATTTGTTATTGCACCACATTCTCACCAGTAGATCCTCTGTCCTGAATGAATGCTGTTGTTGTCAGAACAGCTCGTATAGACATCAGGATAATATATAACGTGACTCCACTTCTTCAATGAATGTCTTGTGAAGCAAAAACTATATATTTGTTAAAAACAAATCCATCGTTAGGAGGTTTTAAACTGTTGATTTTGCTTCACAACATGTTAAGTTTTGTACTGTAGTCAGGTCATGTGTGTTTTTTTTAAATCAGATTTATTTATTTTATCAGCAGTTATTTCTAAACGTATTCTCCTATCAATAAAAGCAAACTCCTCTACATCTGGATGACCTGAGGGTGAGTTGATTTTCAGTTCTGTGTCAGCTGGATGCAACTCAGTTGGACATTGTGCATTTATACACTGCATTTAAAGGGTTAGTTCACCCAAAAATGAAAGTTCTGTTATAATTGCTCTCCCTCAATCCCAAATGAAGATATTTTAGAAGAAATCCTGAAGCTCTCTAATCCTTTATTTTGATTTAGAGACAATCAAGATCCAGAAAGTGAACCAAAACATCTGTCAAAACATTCAGTTTTCAACTGTAACCATACCTAACTCTAAATGACCTGGGGGTGAGTTGATTTTCAGTTCTGTGTCAGCTCAATTCAACTTATTTGGACATTATCTATTTAAACACTCTGCATTTAAAGAGTTAGTTCACCCAAAAATAAAAAGTTCTGTTATTAATGACTCTCCCTCAGTCCCCTCCAATCCCCTGAGACCCTTCGTTCATCTTCAGAACACAAATGAAGACATTTTAGAAGAAATCCTGGAGCTCTCTAATCCTCTATTTTGATTTATTGAGACATTCAGAGTTCAGAAAAGGAACCAAAACATTTGTATACTCATAATATACATATCATATATATTTACATGAAGATATTTTAAAAGAAATCCTGAAGCTCTCTAATCCTCTATTTTGATATATTGAGTCAATTTTCAGTTCTGTGTCAGCTGGATGCAACTTAGTTGGACATTATGCATTTAAACACTACATTTAAAGGGTTAGTTCACCCAAAAAATGAAAGTTCTGTTATTAAATACTCTCCCTCAGTCCCTGCCAATTCCATAAGACCAGGGGTCACCAATCCTGGTCCTGGAGGGATAAACCTGGATGGTTTAGCTCCATCTTACCTCAACACACCTGCCTGGATGTTTCAAGTATACCTAGTAAGACCTTGATTAGCTAGTTCAGGTGTGTTTGATTAGGGTTGGAGCTAAAATCTGCAGGACACCGGTCCTCCAGGAACAAGTTTGGTGACCCCTGCATAAGACCTTTGTTCATCTTCAGAACACAAATGAAAATATTTTAGAAGAAATCCTGGAGCTCTCTAATCCTCTGTTTTAATTTATTGAGACATTCAGACTGCAGAAAACGAACCAAGCATCTGTTAAAAAAAGAAATTTTCAACTGTAACCATACCAAACTCCAAATGACCTGAGGATGAGTACATTTTCAGTTTGGTATCAGCTTGATGCAACTTAGTTGAGACATTCAAAGTCCAGAAAATGAACCAAACATCTGTCAAAACATGCAATTTTCAACCATAACCATACCAAACTCCAAATACCAAAAAAAAAAAAAAAAAAAACTGTACAAAAATGACGTTGCTCACCTTATGTTAGGTCCCAGTGTGCGTTTACTACAGGCAATAACAAGTGTGTTGCGTTGCTGAGTAATAGCAAATAAGTTGTATTGTCTGTAGTAAACGTGCAAGACAAAGGTGGTTTTTACTCTTTTTTTTGGTGTACGAAACTGTTCTTGGAGCTTCATATGATTAGTTGAAGTCACATGAAACTTTTTTGACAATCTTTTGGTTCCTTTTTCTGAAATGTAAAATATCCTGTGTATGTGTATGGTAAGAGAGCTCATGGATTTCTTTTAAAAAAATGTTTATTTGTGTTCCGAAGAAGGTCTCAGGGTTTTGGAAAGACATGAGGATGAGTAATTAATAACCGAATGTTCATTTTTGTTAAAGTTGCCTTTTACGTTATCAAAGAAGTCTTACGAAAATGTCTTATGTTTGCTACAGATAGACTTTGACCCTTCCAAACGTGATTTACGCATCAATTAATGTTGGGAAATAAAACTATGTAATTTATCGTTTGCACTGATGTTTCTGTTAAGCTGAAGGGTGCGATGAGGAACGGTTATCATTTCTCTGTTACCTCATTTGATTTCTTCTTCTGTCGCGTTCATTTATGTCTGCCGTTTTTCTCTGAATGTCAAAACCAGCATCTAGTTTGTATCATCTCGAAATCTTCCCAGTACGATACTAAA